TTAAGAAGGCAAATTGCATTTGTTATTAAGTTTCATTTTTCTAATGAGTAAACACAATTCAAGAAACCTAAGGCTAGGGTACTTAGGTGGGAATAAAGCAGAACCTGTTTTATTAATGGCTTTTGCATAACACAGGGATTATTTAAAAGGTCTCCTACATCTTGCATGGGACACATTGATGTAAACACTTTGTCAGTGATCAATGTTGGAGGGAACAGCTGTCGGCAGCCTTAAAACTTCACACTGCAGAGCAGAGTTCAGCGGTCCTAAACCCAGGGAAATTCCTTGAGTTCATCGGTGAACTCTTTGCTTAAGTCAGTACTGCTGTCATGCTACGTTCTATGGATGGACCACTGTTCACTCTGCTACTTCATGTGGCACAGTCATACCAGCATTGATTCTGCTCAGAGTCATTTGGTTCTACTGGAACCCAGCAGTTGCTGGAGCAATCTCTGTTCCATGCCTGAGTGCCAGGTGCACCAAAACAGCTCCTGTAATGACAGTGCCACAAACCCAAGCCCACTCCTTTCACACACCATGGAGTACTTTCCCACTGAGTACTTTCTCTCCACCTGAAGGACAAGGTCCAATGGCAGCAAAAGCAAGACTTCCCATCAATTTAGTATCTGTCTTTAACTGGGCAGAGGCATGATGATAATAAAAAAACTCTATTGTTCTCAATAACCAAAGGAATGGATTTGAGAACCAGAAATACGTTGTGCACTCTCCCTCCTAAATGGAGAGCTCAGTTCTGGACGCACTCTTCTCCACTCTCATGAGACAGCACCTGGACTACTGCATCCAGCTCTGGGGTCACCAGTTCAAGACGGACATGAAAACGTTTAAGTGAGTCCAGAGGAGGGCCACAAAAATGATCAGAGGGCTAAAACACCTCCCCTACGAAGAGAGGCATAGAGAGTTGGGGTTGTTCAGCCAGGAAAGAGAAGTCTCCAGGGAAACCTTAGTGCAGCCTTGAAGTATGTAAGGGGGGCTTAAAAGAAACACAAGATAGACTTTTTACCAAGGCCTGTAGTTCCAGGACAGGGGGTACAGTTTTAAACTGAAAGAAGGTAGGTTTAAACCGGACATAAGGAAGAAATTTTTTATGATGAGGGTTATGAGATGCTGCAAGGGGTTTCCCAGGGAAGGTGCGCTTGCCCCGTCACTGGAAGCACTCAACCTCAGTCTGAACTGGGCTCTAAGCAGCCTGATGTAGTGAAAGATGATCCTACCCATAGTGGGAGGGGTTGGACTGAAAGATCTTTAAAAAGGATCCCTTCCAACTAAAACTATTCTTGGACTCTCTGATTATATTTGAAATACACCTCAACTACAGTGACCCAGTGTAAAAAACTTAAGACACGCATTAAGCTGCCAATAAACCTTGATTTCTCTAAAAGAAAAGCAACAAATAAAAACACAGGCAATTAATTACTTTGTGGTTCTGTAGTTGGAGGCAGGGGTGTTTTGGTGCTTATTTCTGGTTCTCTGGATGTACTGGCAGAAGTCGTGGTGTGTGTTGATGTACTAGTAACAGCCGTTGTTGTGCCCGGGGTGCTGCTGGTGGTGGTGACGGTGGTGGTCTGTGACCCTGTGGAAGGGCTGCCAGTCCCCGTGGTACTGGTCTCATGTGGAGTAGTTGACGTTTTTATTGTGGTGCTGCGGGGAGTCGATCCTGAGGTTGTGGTGCCTGAAGTGGTGGCTTCCGTCGTCGATCCTGTTTCAATGACTACAGGGGTGGTGGCCGTCACTGTGCTTGTTGGTACCGATGATGTTGACTGTGGAATAGTGGTGCTTACGGTGGACACTGTACTTTCCGTTCCTGTTGTTCTGGTTGTTGACAGTGGGGTAGGTGAAGGAGGAACTGTAGTAGTCGTCTTTGTGGGTGTTGGCGATTCAGGTGTTGTACTCCCTTCAGGACCGGGAGAAAACATGGTATTTTATTTTTAAGAAGGCAAATTGCATTTGTTATTAACTTCCTTTCATTCTTCTAATGAGCAAATGCAATTCAAGAAACCTACGCCTAGGGTAGTTAGGCGGGAATGAAGCAGAACCTGTTTTATTAATGGCATTTGCATAACACAGGGATTATTTAAAAGGTCTCCTACATCTTGCATGGGACACATTGATGTAAACACTTTGTCAGTGATCAACGTTGGAGGGAACAGCTGTCGGCAGCCTTAAAACTTCACACTGCAGAGCAGAGTTCAGCGGTCCTAAACCCAGGGAAATTCCTTGAGTTCATCGGTGAACTCTTTGCTTAAGTCAGTACTGCTGTCATGCTACGTTCTATGGATGGACCACTGTTCACTCTGCTACTTCATGTGGCACAGTCATACCAGCATTGATTCTGCTCAGAGTCATTTGGTTCTACTGGAACCCAGCAGTTGCTGGAGCAATCTCTGTTCCATGCCTGAGTGCCAGGCTTTTAAGACTACTCAACCACAAGCTATTTTGCCGTGCTAGGACCCTCACATTCACCTTTCTGCTCTTTCCTTCTCACATGACTAAGTCAGGTTTCATCATGGGCCCTAAAGGCAGGCTCCTTTCCAAAGGGCTTTGATTAGCATTTGATAAAAGGTTGGCCATACTCGGAGGCCAGCCACAGAGCCATCTGTTTGTGCTTTTACACAAAGAGACACACGGTAGACACAGAAGCACTGCGCACATAATGAGAGTGCAGTCATAACGCTGCAGGACAGGAGGAAGCAAGATACGCTGCTGCCGCTGCTACTGCACACACGGCCCACAAGGAGGGTCCTGCAACTACAATTACTTCACATTTGGGTGAGGAGAGGTAAACTACTTCATGGTCAGAAGGCAACACAGGAACAGATGGTGTACTGTCACAGAGGCAGATTCACGGGGACATTAGGGGGGCTCACATTGCTGCCAAAACATCACCTTGCTTCCCAAGCAGCACACAGTAGGCTGGGAGAACAATGCTCATGGGAATGCCAGGAGAACACGGCTGCCCAGAACCTTGGTCCATAGCAAGGGGCAACCCCTAGTCTGAAACCTGATCCCAAGACCTGCCAGGGGAAAACCTTTCACACTTCCTACAGCTGGAACTGCAGGTGTGTGGCAGCAATGCCACAGAGGCAACGCCAGAGAAGAAAGCCAAGAAAATCTGCACAGCTGCGCCCAAAGAGTGCCTGAAATGACAGTGCCTGAAATGACAGTGCCACAAAACCAAGCCCTTCTCCCTTCACACACCATGGGTCCTGCTGAGAACATTCCCTCCAGCTGAAGGACAAGGTCCAACAGCAGCTAAAGTAAAAGCAAAAAGCTCCTTGGAGCCCTGCTGAGTCAGGGGACACAAGACCTTCTACCCACGAGCTTTGCACCCTCCACACTGCTGAAACAGCCAGCACAAGGCCTGGCTCTGGGCACCAGCCCTTTCTGGTTGACGTTCACATACCTGGAGGTGTGGGTGTGGCTGTGGTAGTTGTTGTAGAAGGGGTGGTTGTTGGCGTGGGTGTGGATGTGGTTGTAGTAGTTGGGGTGGGTGTTGGTGTGCCAGTAACAGTCGTTGTTGTGCCCGGGGTGCTGCTGGTGGTGGTGCTGGTGGGGGGCATCGTGGTGGTGGTGCTGGTGCTGGTGCTGCTGGGAGACTCCGATGGTGTTGGTGGGGGAGCGGTTGTTGATGTGGACACTGTGCTCGGTGTGGGTGAAGGTGTGGAGCGCGTGGTGGTAGATGGAGTACAGTTTTCTGGCTTGCAGCAGAAACTGATCTGGTAATTGAGGCAGACCGGCATCGGTATTGGACCTCCTATTGTCTGATCGCTATTCTTACAGATGAGCCCTGTGGAAACACTGCATTCCACCTTCTGCCCTAAATCTTCAATGGGAACATCAGGGAATTTCTCTGCTCTGCATGAAACATTCTCAGCATTCTCGCAGACCCAGGAGGCGTTTATCGCCTTAATATTCTCAATGGTTTCGTAGTCACCACTGTTTCTGTCAGAAGCATTTGGGTAAGTCACATCAATCCACTCCGTCCATATGCAGTCACAGTCTGAGGGACAACAACAAGAGCAACAATTAGAAGCAGCTGGAATAGAGACAACAAGCTGGGGTTCCAGCACACTTGCGGGTGGTCCTCTGGGCATCCACCACATTCAAGGGTCTCCTTGGGAACTGCGACCCCAGCCAGCCAACCCTGGCCACAACAAAGCTCACTTGTGTGGGCAGGCTTCCCCTTCTCGGCCCTACAAAGAGCACACTAGGGACAAATCAGGACACAGGCACTCCCAAACCATGTGCGTGTGTCCCCTCGCAGCTAAGGTGCATTGCCATATTGGTCTTCTCAGGTTCTTATGTGAGTGTCTGCAAAAAACACTCACATGAGGGCAACACATGAGGTGGAGTAGGACCAAGCAGGTACTCCTGCCACTCTTTTACTTTACTGGGCCCCTCACACCACCTCACTCTCTCAGGGACAAACCAAACATCAGGGAAGGCTCGTGACCACAAAGGAAGAGGGCACAGGGTACACACAGCTGCCAAAACATCAACTGCTTACCCAGCAGAGCACAGGCAGTTGTAGAACAACGCTCACGGGAATGCTGGGAGAACACAGCTGCCCAGAGCCTTGGTCCATAGAAAAGGGGCAACCCCTAGTCTGAAACCTGATCCCAAGACCTGCCAGGGGAAAACCTTCGTGCAGCTGGAACTGCAGGTGTGTGGCAGCAATGCCACAGAGGCAACGCCAGAGAAGAAAGCCAAGAAAATCTGCACAGCTGCGCCCAAAGAGTGCCTGAAATGACAGTGCCTGAAATGACAGTGCCACAAAACCAAGCCCTTCTCCCTTCACACACCATGGGTCCTGCTGAGAACATTCCCTCCAGCTGAAGGACAAGGTCCAACAGCAGCTAAAGTAAAAGCAAAAAGCTCCTTGGAGCCCTGCTGAGTCAGGGGACACAAGACCTCCTACCCACGAGCTTTGCACCCTCCACACTGCTGAAACAGCCAGCACAAGGCCTGGCTCTGGGCACCAGCCCTTTCTGGTTGACGTTCACATACCTGGAGGTGTGGGTGTGGCTGTGGTAGTTGTTGTAGAAGGGGTGGTTGTTGGCGTGGGTGTGGATGTGGTTGTAGTAGTTGGGGTGGGTGTTGGTGTGCCAGTAACAGTCGTTGTTGTGCCCGGGGTGCTGCTGGTGGTGGTGACGGTGGTGGTCTGTGACCCTGTGGAAGGGCTGCCAGTCCCCGTGGTACTGGTCTCATGTGGAGTAGTTGACGTTTTTATTGTGGTGCTGCGGGGAGTCGATCCTGAGGTTGTGGTGCCTGAAGTGGTGGCTTCCGTCGTCGATCCTGTTTCAATGACTACAGGGGTGGTGGCCGTCACTGTGCTTGTTGGTACCGATGATGTTGACTGTGGAATAGTGGTGCTTACGGTGGACACTGTACTTTCCGTTCCTGTTGTTCTGGTTGTTGACAGTGGGGTAGGTGAAGGAGGAACTGTAGTAGTCGTCTTTGTGGGTGTTGGCGATTCAGGTGTTGTACTCCCTTCAGGACCGGGAGAAAACATGGTATTTTATTTTTAAGAAGGCAAATTGCATTTGTTATTAACTTCCTTTCATTCTTCTAATGAGCAAACGCAATTCAAGAAACCTAAGCCTAGGGTACTTAGGCGGGAATAAAGCAGAACCTGTTTTATTAATGGCTTTTGCGTAACACAGGGATTATTTAAAAGGTCTCCTACATCTTGCATGGGACACATCGATGTAAACACTTTGTCAGTGATCAATGTTGGAGGGAACAGCTGTCGGCAGCCTTAAAACTTCACACTGCAGAGCAGAGTTCAGCGGTCCTAAACCCAGGGAAATTCCTTGAGTTCATCGGTGAACTCTTTGCTTAATTCAGTACTGCTGTCATGCTACGTTCTATGGATGGACCACTGTTCACTCTGCTACTTCATGTGGCACAGTCATACCAGCATTGATTCTGCTCAGAGTCATTTGGTTCTACTGGAACCCAGCAGTTGCTGGAGCAATCTCTGTTCCATGCCTGAGTGCCAGGCTTTTAAGACTACTCAACCACAAGCTATTTTGCCGTGCTAGGACCCTCACATTCACCTTTCTGCTCTTTCCTTCTCACATGACTAAGTCAGGTTTCATCATGGGCCCTAAAGGCAGGCTCCTTTCCAAAGGGCTTTGATTAGCATTTGATAAAAGGTTGGCCATACTCGGAGGCCAGCCACAGAGCCATCTGTTTGTGCTTTTACACAAAGAGACACACGGTAGACACAGAAGCACTGCGCACATAATGAGAGTGCAGTCATAACGCTGCAGGACAGGAGGAAGCAAGATACGCTGCTGCCGCTGCTACTGCACACACGGCCCACAAGGAGGGTCCTGCAACTACAATTACTTCACATTTGGGTGAGGAGAGGTAAACTACTTCATGGTCAGAAGGCAACACAGGAACAGATGGTGTACTGTCACAGAGGCAGATTCACGGGGACATTAGGGGGGCTCACATTGCTGCCAAAACATCACCTTGCTTCCCAAGCAGCACACAGTAGGCTGGGAGAACAATGCTCATGGGAATGCCAGGAGAACACGGCTGCCCAGAACCTTGGTCCATAGCAAGGGGCAACCCCTAGTCTGAAACCTGATCCCAAGACCTGCCAGGGGAAAACCTTTCACACTTCCTACAGCTGGAACTGCAGGTGTGTGGCAGCAATGCCACAGAGGCAACGCCAGAGAAGAAAGCCAAGAAAATCTGCACAGCTGCGCCCAAAGAGTGCCTGAAATGACAGTGCCTGAAATGACAGTGCCACAAAACCAAGCCCTTCTCCCTTCACACACCATGGGTCCTGCTGAGAACATTCCCTCCAGCTGAAGGACAAGGTCCAACAGCAGCTAAAGTAAAAGCAAAAAGCTCCTTGGAGCCCTGCTGAGTCAGGGGACACAAGACCTTCTACCCACGAGCTTTGCACCCTCCACACTGCTGAAACAGCCAGCACAAGGCCTGGCTCTGGGCACCAGCCCTTTCTGGTTGACGTTCACATACCTGGAGGTGTGGGTGTGGCTGTGGTAGTTGTTGTAGAAGGGGTGGTTGTTGGCGTGGGTGTGGATGTGGTTGTAGTAGTTGGGGTGGGTGTTGGTGTGCCAGTAACAGTCGTTGTTGTGCCCGGGGTGCTGCTGGTGGTGGTGCTGGTGGGGGGCATCGTGGTGCTGGTGCTGGTGCTGCTGGGAGACTCCGATGGTGTTGGTGGGGGAGTGGTTGTTGATGTGGACACTGTGCTTGGTGTGGGTGAAGGTGTGGAGTGCGTGGTGGTAATACAGCTGTCTGGCATGCAGCAGACTCTGATCTGGTAATTGAGGCAGACCGGCATCGGTATTGGACCTCCTATGGTCTGATCGCTATTGTTACAGATGAGCCCTGTGGAAACACTGCATTCCACCTTCTGCCCTAAATCTTCAATGGGAACGTCAGGGAATTTCTCTGCTCTGCATGAAATATTCTCAACTTTCCCGCAGGAGGGGTACTGCGCCTTAATATTCTCAATGGTTTCGTAGTCACCACTGTTTCTGTCAGAAGCATTTGGGTAAGTCACATCAATCCACTCCGTCCATATGCAGGCACACTCTGAGGGACAACAACAAGAGCAACAATTAGAAGCAGCTGGAATAGAGACAACAAGCTGGGGTTCCAGCACACTTGCGGGTGGTCCTCTGGGCATCCACCACATTCAAGGGTCTCCTTGGGAACTGCGACCCCAGCCAGCCAACCCTGGCCACAACAAAGCTCACTTGCGTGGGCAGGCTTCCCCTTCTCGGCCCTACAAAGAGCACACTAGGGCCAAATCAGGACACAGGCACTCCCAAACCATGTGCGTGTGTCCCCTCGCAGCTAAGGTGCATTGCCATATTGGTCTTCTCAGGTTCTTATGTGAGTGTCTGCAAAAAACACTCACATGAGGGCAACACATGAGGTGGAGTAGGACCAAGCAGGTACTCCTGCCACTCTCTTACTTTACTGGGCCCCTCACACCACCTCACTCTCTCAGGGACAAACCAAACATCGGGAAGGCTCGTGACCACAAAGGAAGAGGGCACAGGGTACACACAGCTGCCAAAACATCAACTGCTTACCACAGGCAGCTGTAGAACAACGCTCACGGGAATGCTGGGAGAACACAGCTGCCCAGAGCCTTGGTCCATAGAAAAGGGGCAACCCCTAGTCTGAAACCTGATCCCAAGACCTGCCAGGGGAAAACCTTCGTGCAGCTGGAACTGCAGGTGTATGGCAGCAATGCCACAGAGGCAACGCCAGAGAAGAAAGCCAAGAAAATCTGCACAGCTGCGCCCAAACAGTGCCTGAAATGACAGTGCCTGAAATGACAGTGCCACAAAACCAAGCCCTTCTCCCTTCACACACCATGGGTCCTGCTGAGAACATTCCCTCCAGCTGAAGGACAAGGTCCAACAGCAGCTAAAGTAAAAGCAAAAAGCTCCTTGGAGCTCTGCTGAGTCAGGGGACACAAGACCTTCTACCCACGAGCTTTGCACCCCCCACGCTGCTGAAACAGCCAGCACAAGGCCTAGCTCTGGGCACCAGCCCTTTCTGGTTCACGTTCACATACCTGGAGGTGTGGGTGTGGTGGTGGTAGTTGTTGTAGAAGGGGTGGTTGTTGGCGTGGGTGTGGATGTGGTTGTAGTAGTTGGGGTGGGTGTTGGGGTGCCAGTAACAGTCGTTGTTGTGCCCGGGGTGCTGCTGGTGGTGGTGACGGTGGTGGTCTGTGACCCTGTGGAAGGGCTGCCAGTCCCCGTGGTACTGGTCTCATGTGGAGTAGTTGACGTTTTTATTGTGGTGCTGCGGGGAGTCGATCCTGAGGTTGTGGTGCCTGAAGTGGTGGCTTCCGTCGTCGATCCTGTTTCAATGACTACAGGGGTGGTGGCCGTCACTGTGCTTGTTGGTACCGATGATGTTGACTGTGGAATAGTGGTGCTTACGGTGGACACTGTACTTTCCGTTCCTGTTGTTCTGGTTGTTGACAGTGGGGTAGGTGAAGGAGGAACTGTAGTAGTCGTCTTTGTGGGTGTTGGCGATTCAGGTGTTGTACTCCCTTCA